TGATCGCACACATGTCGGCCCGGGATTGTAGCATCAAGTACCCCCCACCATAGCTGCCCGGGAGGGTTTTAACCTGGTAGATGTAGTTAAAAAGCTCCATCGTGCAGGCAGCTTTATGCCGAGCGCATATCTGCGGGAAGCAGGCAAGGATCCGGTGCGCGTTCGGGCAAATCTGGGCCGGGACGATCCGGTAATAAGCCAGGAAGGCGTTCAGGAGGGGGGTGAAGGGGATGGCGATCGGGGCCATCAGGGAGTCGTAATGCATCCCGATCCACTTGCCCTGATGCCGGTCGATGACGTTCCCTAGCCGCCGGCTCGTGTCGAACTCTACCCGACCCTCGAGCCTCTCGGCGATCCTGGTCGCTTCGCCTTTAGTCAGCCGGCTCATCTGCTGTTCGACATTCTCGCTGTTCAAGAATTCGAACTCGGCGACTGCTGGTGCGGCCGGCCCGGCTGCGTCCTCTTCAGCCGGCTCGGGAGTACTGTCCCGAGCACCTGATCGCTGTGCGATGTCCGGGTGGTCCCCTACCACCCGGATGGGCGTTTCCCTAGCGCCCTCAGTCGGGGATCCTTGTCTCCCCGACGTTGTTGCTTCTTTTTCTTCCTCGCTGGTACTCCCCGATCCGCTCGAGCTTGAGCTTGACGATCCAGAGGAGCTTGATGCGTTGTCTCGCTCGGCGGCTTGCTCGGGGGCTGGCGTCGCTCGGGGACTGGCGTCCGGGGTGTAGGACATAATGTCCACTTCCTCGTCGCTGATGTGCTCGACCTCCTCGTCGTAATCAGCAATCGAGGCGTTTTGACTGTCTGAGTCCGTCATATCGATCTACCTAAAGGTCGGTCGGAGTTAGTAAGGACTTGAGACGTCCGGGACAGTTAGTTGACCTAGCAGTTCTACCTATAAATGAGAGCCTAAAGTAAAGAGGAGGGTTAAGAGCTTACCGATTGAAGGAAGATTGAAGTTTGAAGCTTGAAAGTTGAAGTTTGCTTGCTCGACTGCCTTGCTAAGCTGCTCTGCTCGGGACTCTCTGAGGGTACCGACTGATGCGAAAGAGTGAGGAAAGTTCAAATGAGGGCCTCAAGGGCCTATTTATAGAAGAGCATTTAGGCGGGAAAACGGATCCACTTGCGTGACACGATTGGCGCTGATTCCGAGGCGACGGTTGCAGTCGTCGAGGCCGGCAGTGGCCGACACGTGGCGGAGAGGGGAATGACAGCTGGCCGGTCGGTTTGGTGCCTGACGGTTGGGCTTCTTCATCCCGTCCCGTTTTTTCCCGACTGATCAAAAAGGCCCGGGCTGGGGGGCTTTTGGTAGGGAATATCCCGACCGTCATAAGCTCCACCACGACCGACTTGCCTTTGTCTTCTTCTTCTGGTCTTTGCAGGTAGCAGGTCGGGCTTTCTTCATGGAGACCCCGGTCGGGAACGGCCGGAATTGCCCGAGCGCTGATGTCAACCACCGAGCGGTAGCCCTTTGACAAAAGAGCCTGGCACGAGGACATGAAAGGACGCGTGGCGACTCTTCATGGTGACAGACAGGGCACCCGAGAGGATGACACGTGGGGGCTACGTGGAAGACATGCCGAGCGGCCGGAGTCTTGTCCCCGGCATAGCGGCTATAAATACCCACAGTAGCTATAGTGTAGAGGACTTTTGGACGATCGATAAGTTGTTATTAGAGACTCCCGACCGCACTCAGTCGGTACTCAGAGCAACCAAGTAGATTGTACTTAGGAATTCTACCTTGATCAATAAAGACTTTACTTGCTTTATTTGGTCTCGTGTTATTTATATTGCTTACGTAGAATTAGCAGTATCATATATATATATATATTAATTTACAAATAATATTAAGCTAACACCCACATATATGATATATATATATATATATATATATATATATATATATATATATATATATATATATATATATATATATATATATATATATATATATATATATGGGCGCACTCAGGTGCGAATAAGTGCCCCGGAAGGAAATGCGAACGAATCAGCGCGCGACACGTGTCCAGATCTAATAACTTAAAAAAATGCGGTGGCATTTTCGTAAATAATTGAACATCGAAGTGCAAGTAAAATCTCTTATAAGTGCACCTATTTTCACCTATTAGTGCATGTAATTTTGCCTTGTTCGCATTCACTTTCCGCAACCATTCATTCACTTGGGTGTGCTTATAACTATATGTGCAACTATTTATAACTATAGGTGCAACTACTTATAACTATAGGTGCACCTACTTTTACCTATTAGTGCATGTAATTTTGCCTTGTTAACATTCATTGATCTAAGTTCGCGGGTAGTAATACTCCTGAAAACCACTCGCAAACATTCATACACCTAGATGCAACTACTTATACCTATGTGTGCAACTACTTAGAACTATAGGTGCAACTACTTAGAACTATAAGTGCAACTAAGTATTGATGCTCAGTGTAAATTTTTACTTGCACCTATAATACATTTTACATGCACTTGTAATACATTTTACTTGCACTTCGATGTTCAATTATTTACGAAAATGTCATCGCGTTTTTTTTTTTAAAAATCAGTGTTTCTCATCCATTAGATCTGGACACGTGGACGAACAGAATTCATTCCTATTTTGCGCATGGGCGAGCCGTTCGCACCTGAGTGCGATTTTATATATATATATATATATATATATATATATATATATATATATACTATATTCAAATATATGATAATTCAAAAGTATCATCACTTTAAGGAATTGTTTAACATAATTTTAACTAATTTTTTAAATTTTGTTACTTAACAATATGAGTTAATTCCATTTTTGGTCCTACACTTATTGGGCGTTGGACACATTTTGACCCGTTTAATTAATTTACCCACATTCAACCCAGACTTTTCTAAAGGTGGACAATTTAGGTCCATCGTTACAATAGCTGTTAGATGGCCGTGAAGTCGAAGGGCATTTACGTCCTTTCAAGTGTTAGTCTTCCACAGTCTTCGTTTGTTGATTTTGGTCTTATAAACTCTCCCTAGTCAGGCTGTATATGCTTCAATCAGACGAACCACGCAACCCCTAGACACCCAACTGTAGCAGCTTCTTGGATACGAAGAGACGAAGCAAGATGCAAGGTTCTAAAGGGGAAAGCTTCAACTGTTCGAGTTCTTCAACAACAAGGAGAAAGTGCTATTTGTATGGGGAATCGATTTCGATTGAAGTATTTGAATGTGGTGAAGAAATGGTTTTGAGAACATCATGGACAGATGAAAATCCGGGTAGGAGGTATTGGGAGTGTTCAAGACATAAGGGTAGTAATTAGTTTATAATTTTGTATATTTCGGTTAATTTAAGGTACTCTGTACGAGAAAGGGGATTGCTAATTTGTAGAAGAAAAATGTTTGTTTTTGGGTAATTTTTCAGGATGGATCAGGTTATGGATTCATGAAGTGGTATGATCCACCAATGTGCCCTAGGTCAAAGAGGATTATACCAGGGCTATTGAGAAGAATTAGCAAACATGAAGAAGAAATACTAAAGTTAAAATCCAAGCAGAGAAGTCTACCAAGAGGGGATACTGAAATAAAAGAGATGCGTAGGAGTGGAAAATGTACATCCATGAGGATGGTTCTCCTAGTTGGCGTGATTCTTGGCATAATTGTTTATTTTAGAATTATTGTAGGGAGCAATGGGAGCTTAGGGGTAGGCAAGAATGTGTATATGCTCCCATAAGATTGAATTGTAATGTGTGGTTAAGGGTAGGCAATGGCAGTGTTGGTTGAAGGCTTTGGTTGTAATGTGTGGTTAAGGGTTGGTTTTTGGTTGTTGGCTTATGGCTTATGGACTATGGTTTATTTTGTTTGGCAATGGCAGTGTTGGTTGGTAGCTTATGTTTGGTTTTTGTTTTTGGTTTTTGGCTTATGGCTTATGGACTATGGTTTATTTTGTTTGGCAATGGCTGACTTATGGTTTTTTATTTTGGTTTATGATTGTTGGCTTATGCCTTATGGTCTATGGCATACGGTTCATCATAACATATCCATTAGTAATCAGCTAACATTACTAAATACATAACAATCTGCTAACATATTGACCACAAAATCATAACATATCCATTAGTAACATTCAGACCATAATTACATAACAATCTGCCCAAAGTTATGGCCATATACTAACATTCTGGCTTCATAACATTCTGATCATAAAAAATACTTAACATTCTAAACAGTACCCAAACAATTAGGTTAAGTTGTAGCAAAACATTAGATCAGTAGCAAAAAAAATACATAATAGTAGATGTCAACACTAATTTAGACATAATAGTAACCAAACATCTTCAATCCAGCTTTATAGGGTCGTCCTTGGTGTTAATGAATTTGGACCTTAATGTGGTTGAGGATCTTGTCCTACGACGATATGAAGTGTTTGCCACTGTTGAGGTCTTCCTTGAGGTCTTCCTTGATGTCTTCTTTGCTGTCATTTGTGGTCCAGACTGAGACAAGGGTTGTTCTAGCTGAGTGGTGTCAACTCCAATGTCTGGCTGAGTGATTGTTATTTCTTCATGCTGAGGTTGTACTCCAATATGAATGTCAAACAAAGATGCTACTCTTTCTGCTTCATTCCAGAAATGTTGAATTTCCTCTATGATTGATCCATCAGTGGGAGGCACAGCAGTAGGCTCATCAGAAGTGGGAGGCACAGCAGTAGGCTCATCAACAGTGGGAGGCACAACAGTAGGCTCATCAGCAGTGGGAGACACAGCAGTAGGCACTGGCACTTGGAGGCATAGCAGGAGGCACACTGGAACTTTGAGGCACAGCAGCATTTTTCTTCTTTGTATTCCTTCTTTTTTGATTCACCTACATAGCAAGAAATTAAAGGAATGAATTTAAAGTATTCAATAAAGGCACAACAGTAGCAGAAGTAATCATTACCTGAGTTTGTCTTCCACTCCTATTTTCAGGGCATGTTCTTGTGTTATGCCCTCTTTTATTGCACTTCCTACAATGCTTAATCAGCACACCCAGGGTTCATGTGTGTCCCATCTTTGGTTATCTCTTCTCTGCTCATCTTTCTCAACTTCTTTGGTCTCCTAGGCTTCCTTTTATAGAGAGGAGGCAGTGGTGGTTCCTGGGTTGACTTGGGCCATTCTTTAGGACCAGCTATTGGGTGTATCCTCCCACTATAGGTATTCAAGTATGTGTTTATTGAATAGCAAGGGTGTACATATTCATGCACATGACCATTTCCATGTCTCATCCTAATGGCACACACCACATGTTTACATGGTATCCCTGTCAAGTCCCACTTCCTACAACTACAAGTACGCCTGAAAAGATCAACTCTATGCTGCTCTAACACCCCTATCCCTGCCATACACTTAATCTCAAACAGATTTTCATCACTCTGGAACCCTAAACAACCACCAGCAGCATGCTCAACATTTGCAATCTTTTTCATAATGTTAGGGCAGAAATGTCCCTTCCAATTTAAAGCTTTTTGCCTATTTTCAAATATTTTACACATCAACATTTTTCTAATACTTTCAGCAGCAGAAATCAGAGGTTGTTCCCTAGCATCTAAAATCATGGCATTGAAACTTTCAGAGATATTATTAACTAATGCATCACATTTAGCATAGGGTGTGAAATGGGACCTTGACCACTCTGAAGGGTGCTTATCTCCTAGCCATTTATATGCCTCCACATCTACATTCTTCAATTCAGTCATAGCATCATTGGAACTGTTGACAGTTGTTGCCTTTGCTGCTGCCCATAATGTATCCTTGATAGCTTTTCCCATAAATCCTGCTACTTTCATGTTGCCATGAAGATGCCTCACACAGAATCTGTGTGAGGCATTTGGTAGCACACCTTCAAATGCAGGAAGAAGGCCTTTCTGTTTGTCTGCAAGTATAAACCAAAGTAAGTTTCCTAATCAGCTACAAGAACCAAACAAACATTTAAAAATTATAAAAGCAAAGTCAGTATAGAACCTGAGATAAATGTTAACTGTTCTTCTGCTTCCCTTGTGATCTCTAAATCTGTCTTAAGCAACCGCAAGAACCAGCTCCAAGACTCTTTGGTTTCTCCTTCAACAAACACATAGGCCAGGGGGAAGATACTATCATTCCCATCTATTCCCACAGCAGTTAACAATTGACCTCCAAATGTGTGTTTCAAATGGCAACCATCTACACCAATCATGTTTCTACAGAACTTGTAACCCTCCTTAGAAGCCTCCCAACAGAAGTACATTCTCATAAATCTTGGTTTTCCAGCATACAACAAATCTGTTACCTTCACAGGACATGTAGTCTTTGGGTTAGTTCTCTCAATCTCCAATTTGTAGTTCCAAATTTTGTTGAAATTCTCTATAGCCTCTCCTTCAATGGCAGCCTTAGCTTTTTTCATAGCCCTATATGCTTGCTTCTTACTGAACTGAAATCCCTCATCAGTTTTAACCTGATCTCTAAATTGAGCAGTTGACCAGTTACTGTTGTGCCCAATCTCCTTCATCCATCTCTTTGCAACTCTTGTTGATTTCACCATTTTGTTCTCATACACCCATCCACAACCATCATGGTCTTCATTAAAACTAGCAATTCTCCAGGACAACTCATTTTTCACTTTCCACACATTTATTTTAAAAGGGCAGCCAGGTTGTGTACATCTAACACACATCCTACTCTTGTCATTTTTAGTGAACTTCAATTCCTTGCCATTACCAAATGCATAGCTGTGGACTGCATCTCTAAATTCAGCCTTACTTGCAAATGTTAGTCCAATTGAGAGCTTAGGGATTTTAACCTCTGTTCTTGCCTTATACATTGGCCACTTATACTCCTGTTGATCATCACTATCTTTCCCACTATCCTCATCAGACAAATGAAGACCATCCCCAGTCCCTACCTCAATTATTGGTTCATTTTCAGTCACTTTCCCATCCTGACTTTCTCTTACTCCTTCAAACTCCACATTTGGATCTATGTTGCCCTCAAAGTCTATGTCATCATTTTCCATACTGTCTTCACTGAAGTCAAAATACTCTAAATCTTCATTAGACTCTAAGTCACCATCATCTACTACTGAAGGGTCTCCCTCACCCTTACCTACCACCCAGACCTCAACTTCCTTGGGAAACATTCCAACATCACATATTGCCCAACAGTCACTATCATTTACTAATTCAAATAAGGTACCAGTCCCAGTAGGTGTGAAAATTTTGAATTTGTCTAACATGTTATACCCTAATTCCTCCACTGTGTCCCTTAAGGTTATCATCCCCCACAAATCTATGCTCAAACTACAACACTGAAGTACCCCTCCAACATATCCTAAACCATGTGTTTTAAGGCAACCACCATGTCTTAACTTGAGATTGAACTGAGCACTGTGGTTTCCTCCATCTATTTCACAAGAATAAAATTAAGTAACAAATCTGAGTATGGTTTCTATGAGAAGAAAAAAAGGCAATCAAAAAGCACAAGTTTCAGCTAACAAACACAGTTGTGGTCCCCACCATATTGATAAAAATGTTGGACAGAAACCCAACAACAACCCAAAGGCATGTGGTCCACAACGCAATAAGACAATTAGTACACATAACAATTTTTTTTGGGATAACATAACTACAGAATAAATATTCAGGCCCACACATCTACCACCCAAAGGCATATAAATATTCAGAACTTCACATTCTCAACCTTAAAGTTAAACATTCTCAGCCTTAAAGTGAAACACTCTCAGTCATTGTCAATAAAGTGGAATAACAACCCCACAATACAAAGCAAACAATCATCAAACACTACGCAACTGGACAAAATCACTAAAAAAAATCCATACACACATGCTCCAATCACACAAACAAGCGAAATAGGCATTACAAACATAAACATTGACCTATTCATACTCAAATCACACAAAAAACATCAACCCATAACAAATAAACAAAAAAATCGAATTTTACCTAGGGTATTGTTGTTTTCTTCTCCGACACGATCCATCTTGCTTCGTCCCTTCGTACTAGCTTTCGGCGATCAACGATTCGCCCTACGTTTCCAATTTCTTCAATACAGATGCGAATTCGTTTGCAATTTAGCTAGGGTTTGGTGGTTTTGGTTCGATGGTGTCTAAGGGTTGCGTGGTTCGTCTGATTGAAGCATATACAGCCTGACTAGGGAGAAGTTATAAGACCAAAGTCAACAAACGAAGGCTGTGGAAGACTAACACTTGAAAGGATGTAAATGCCCTTCGACTTCACGGCCATCTAACAACTATTGTAACGATGGACCTAAATTGTCCACGTTTAGAAAAGTATGGGTTGAATGTGGGTAAATTAATTAAACCGGTCAAAATGTATCCAACGCCCAATAAGTGTAGGACCAAAAGTGGAATTAACTCTAACAATATTTTAATATTGGGCATAGGTTTTCGCGCATCGCGCGTACAAAATGCTAGTAGTATTATAAGTACCGAAATATAATATTGGATAATCTAGGGGTTGTGAAAAATGTTGTGTAGCTTTTTTAACACCTAGTACATGATCCATTTCTTGCTTTTTAACCCATCTTCGACAACAACACTGATCACTGTCCCTTAGTCAATACTTGTTACCAATCAACACTATCAATGTTTCTGATGAGTCAACAGTTTGTATAAAGTAGCTTAGGTTCGAAAGTGATTTCTGTCCCCAATTTTGCAAAAAGCTACCCAAAGCTCATATTTTCAGCTTTACTTTGAAGATTGTTTATATATATATATATATATATATATATATATATATATATATATATATACATATATCGAGATGATTAGAAGTATTCTATTTTTTTCTGCAATATATATTATCGGAATGGAAAAAAGAAAATATGTAATTTTAGGTCACCAATTATTTTTTATCCCATCATTTTAGTCTCAAACAATTTCTTTTTACAAAATTAGTGCACAATTAGGTTAAGACTTAGAACTGAATAGACCAAAATGTCATTGTATTTAATGTTATTTAAACAGTTTGATTGACAAAAGATAAAAAATGATCATACCACAATAATATTAGAATTAAAAGGAGTGTTTTAAAAGCAAATGATTAAATTTGGACTGACACATATAAATTTATGAGGTGTTTTAGGTCACCATTTATTTTTTTATTTTTGAATTTTTTTTCACTGGTTTTTAGATTAAAAGAGCGTAAAATATTGGGGAATTCTATTTTAAAACTCATTTTTATAGTAGAATTCATTATATAATAATTTAAAAATTGCAAATGTATATATTTCTTTTTCACAATCACATATTGCTATTAAGGGGTAATACAACTCTGATCTGATCTGAATGTTAGTAACTTGATCGTGAGCCATGGATTACACACAATAAGTACACTGTAATGCCTTCTTTGGTGTTACTTACAATCTATCTTTAACTTATAATTGCCAATTAATTAGACGTAATTTTCATAACAAATATTAAATAAACATGTTTTCTTAAGAGCAAAATAAAGTTTACATTTCAGTACAATATTATGGTTGTAGTCACACATTGCTTGCACGTTACAATTTAATGCAATTTTTCTAACTTCAATTAAGTGGCTCGTGGTGCGTTATAATGTCGTCTCAATTATTTGTAATTTCAAGGCAATAATCTTATAGTACAAATTTGGAGCACATCAACATAATTAACAGTACTAATGAAATATTTGTTAAAAATGACACTGAAGCCATTTCTTTCTATCTATGTTAAAAATGAAATATTTGTATTTCTACATCATTGTTTTTTTTTTTTTTAATAAATAAATGAAATTTGTAAGTATTTAATTGCATATAAATTTTCATAAATAAACTAATAAAATTTAGGTTAAAGTGTCATCCCGCACCATGAACTATATCGGATTGTTCATGCCACACCCTGAACTTTCATAACGTATATTTAGATCCACAAACTATTTTTTTTTTTTTTCACCTAGAACTTTTTAAAGGTTTCTAGGTTACTATGATGACATGACACATGTTATTAGCTTATGTGGATTTCTTTTTAGGTCAACCCCAAATTTTATTATAAATAACTAAAATCAGAAGTACTATATCACTCCTCTTTCTCAGTTTCTAAATTTTTTGCTTATGAATGGATTTTTATCCATGGCCCTTAATTGCATTATTGTTTCTATTAAAAAAATAAAAAATAAAAATCCTAGGCATCCACATGAAATGTAATACGGAGTATATATTACCTGGGAGCTTGCAAGAGACAGGGCAGCGACCGGCGACGAGTTGATCATAAAGAAATTTCATTTGTTGTTGCCGGTGTTTCTTCGTCCAACCACGCCCACTTAATTGGCTATTTTTTAAACAGAGAAAGATGGAGCTTGATCGTTTTCTTCATTGAAAATGTCGGGGGAGTGACCAAGGTGCTAGAAGATCGAGGAAAAAAAATTCATGTCAACACATTATTACCTGCAACTTGTAGGTGACCTCTAAAAAGTTCTAGGTGAAAAAAAATTAATAGTTTGTGGATCTAAATATACGTTATGAAAGTTCAGGGTGCGGCATGAACAATCCGATATAGTTCATGGTGCGGGATGACACTTTAGCCTAAAATTTATAGGTATTTAGACTACAAAACTTGTCAACAACTTTATTGGCTGAGCCTATTGAATAAAATTTTCTTAGTGCAATTTAATTCTTTTATATAGTTTGTTGACTAGAATGGAGTTTATTTAGTTAAATATAGAAAAACTTGCTTTATTTTTCCTATTAATATTTCATTTTGTTATTCTTATAACTTATATATTTAAATTAGACAACAAGATTTATTTATGTGTGACAACTAGCTAAAAGTGAATCTATTATAGTATAATGTTACCCCTAGTCCAAGCATAATTAATTATGAAGCGCGTGCCAATTTTTTGGCAGAAGTTTGTGTTTTGACTTTAGGCTATTGTTGGTCCATGCCATTTTGCTCTTGAAAGAATACTCTTGATAATGATTAGGTCACACAATGTTAGAAAAAAATATGAACGATAGTATAATAGGGAATTGCATAAAAAGGATCATATATTCTTTTAGATGGTGAATTTCACTTTTAAAGTTATTTACAAAACACTACTAGAAATTATGAAATTTCCGACCACCTGAAAGTGATCTTAAATCAAGTTAATACCAAAAAGTGGTCGGAAATAGCAATAAAGGATTTTTCAGATACCAAAAGTGGTCAGAACAAGACTTTCAACTTGATTTAAGATCACTTTCAGTTGGTCGGAAATTTCATAATTTCCCGTAGTGAAAGTATTTTTGTGAAAATATTTGTCTAAGCTAGTATTGTATGTTGAATACCGAAAATACACTACAAGAATACAATAAAATAATGTTGAACTTTTAGTTATATATACAAGTATAACACAGGGCAATACCATCCATTTATATATATATATATATATATATATATATATATATATATATATATATATATATATATATTGACTTCTATTGAATAAGATATGGTTCAATTTTTAACTATGAAAGACAAGTTTTTTTTTTTTTTTTTTTTTTTTTTTTTTTTTTTTTTTGAGAAAAAGAACGACAAGTTTTAACCATGACAGAATCATCCCATCATATTTTAAGGTTAACATTACATATTTTGATCCATCAAGTTGGTATAACCTACATAAGCTATGTCATTTTCTTTATATATATATATATATATATATATATATATATATATATATATATATATATATATATACACACACACACACACTGCTGGAAATTATGGAATTTCTCACCACCTGAAAGTGATCTTAAATCAAGTCGAAAGCAAAAAGTGGTCGGAAATAGCTACAAAGGTTTTTCCGGATACCAAAAGTGGTCGGAACAATGCTTTCGACTTGATTATATTTAAAATCACTTTCAGGTGATCGGAAATTCCATAATTTCCAATAGTGATATCCGATACACATATCCTCAGTGACTAGTGAGAATATGCAACATTTTAAGTGCAGACACATCGATCACTTCATCGATGAGTATTGTCAGGAAAAGGGTAGTTCCAATCAAATTGATCAAATATTTAATTTGGTAATTACAAAGTTTCAAATTTTATTTTTTCATAGGATCGAGTTGTCTATTAGTATTCTTGATATGAGACGATCAACT